GTCTATGTATATGAATTTGTATTTGTATGTATAATACATATGTGTGTGTGTGCGTGTTTGTGCGTATGTGTGTGAGCGTGTGTGTGTGTGTGTGTGTGCATACATACATATATGTATATATATATATTTATATATATATGCATATGTTATGTATATGTGTGTATATATATACATGTGTGTGTGTATATGTGTGTGTGCGTTATGTATATATATATATATATGTGTGTGTGTGTATGTGTGTATATATATATGAGTGTATGTATATATGTATGTTTGTATGTGTGCGGGCTTGTGCCGATCTTATGCATGCAAATCCATCACTTAGGTTACACCCCTATTATTTTAACATCTGGTCGATATTTCTGTTAGTACTTGTTAGGTCCACTCGCACACTACACATACACACACGCACACACGCACGCCCCTTCTGATTAGCGCACATCCACCGTATCAGTTTCTACACCACACGCCCTTGCCTGGACGGTGTGTACGGGTCACTATGGCATACACTCACCTGTGAATTCATGTACAGTCACCAGTTGCAAGCTTACAGCGCCTAAGCTAAGCTGTTTTATAACGTCTGGCCGGACGTCTGTGAATTCATGTACAGTCTCCGGTTGCAAGCTTAAGCTGTTTTATAACGTCTGGCCGGACGTAGCATTTACGGGAGCGCTCCGGGTTTATGTCACTATATCCGATGTATATATGCACGTATTTTATACCAGCCTATGGCATATATATTCGCGCGCACGCATCACTGTCTCATATATCTGAAAATGCGTTGTATTCGTATCACTATATCCGATGTATATATCCACGTACCTATGCCACCCAGTTTGGTATATATATACGCGTACACATCACTCTCTCATATATAGTCACGCGTCTATACACACATCATCAATACTACAGCGCTGAAGGTCATCCGGGAGGTCTACCCAGATGAGGATTACAACTTGCAAGCGGCCTCGGTTCTTCAGGCACTTGGTAGGTTTACGTTAACGTCTTTATGTAAACGTCAAGCTGCGGTAGGCATAGCTCGGTATCCCCAATGGGTAGGGCTAAATCAACTATTATATTTAGCAGTATTGTGTTTTATCTCAACCTCAGTGTCTGCTCACTTTCTAATGGACTTTTCGAATGTCAGTGGTGATTCTGCCAAGCACCTACGAACACACCCAACCGAATGCTATCCGCCCTGCGTAAACGCGTACTGTTTAAATCGTTTGCAAACCTATACTGCCTGTGTGTCACTATATTCATCTCATACTCAGTATATCCTATCTTATTCTTTTTATAGTATTTCGTATTCTCCTAAATTGAGCATATTCGGATATGACTATTGGTACAACTAGTACATATGGTGCCTTATATATATATATATAAATATACATATATATATAAATTTATATAT